TGCCCACATGTGCATGTACTTTCTCCCACGTGCATGTTCTCTTGGCTTCTTGTTAGGTCTCACTAGCCTGGTCTCATGCAATCCACTTGGATCTCCTTGAGCTGCCATTCACTTGCACATATAATTTTCTTTTAAGCCCATATGATACATTCCTTACTCTTATGTAGAATATAAATTTGCTTCAGCTACAAGTTGCTTAGCTCGATTTCTTCCATCATTTTTTATTTTCCATTGGGTTCCTTTTAATACATATGCATGTGGACCAAGCTGCCTGTTGATTTGGTGGATGGGTGCTGTTGCTGGTGTATTGATTCACTTGCAGTGCCAGCAGGAGTTGTTGGCATGAGGATCATCCTTCTTGTTCTTGCACAAGTTGCAAGCAAATATGGAATGAGTTCATCACTTCATCCCAGAGTTGTTTCAGTTTCTAAGTGTGTAAAACTGTTACTACACTGCTTGCTGTTCTTCTACTCTGAAGATGGCTATGAATAATTCAGTTTCTTCTGTTGTAAGGTTGATGAATCAATCCTTTAATTTTGTATACTATGTGTAGGAGGAGTGTAAAATCAAATATACAAATAATGGAGGGGAAAGCTTACAGTAGAAGTTAAAATTTATAATTTAAAGAATATCCTAATTTATGTATTTCTTACTGGGCCACCTTTTCGGCAGGTAAAGGACAATATGATTGCATTTTACATATTTTAGGCATCAAGTTATTAACTACTTGCTCTTTAGGATGTTCATCATCAAGCAGTACCAAATCAAAGCTGCGAAGTTAAAAGAATACACTTTGTCTCCTAAAACTTTAATGTTGGGGATATATGAAAATTCTGGCGGGTAAAGTAAGTTACACTTTTGCATTATATTGCTATAATCCTTTGTCTTCTAATACATTGCTATCTGTTATTTCTGTAATTTTTTTTGTAGCTTGAAGCTGTAGTATGGGACAGATATAAAGAAACTTAACTAGAGGTGGAATTAGTGTGATTTGCTTTGGATGTATAGGGCTTAAGTAAAGACTTGATGGAACTATTTGGATGTAATTTTCAAAACAGGAATTTAGGCTACCATTGATATTCAGGAATGACAGGAAGCTGAAGCTATGTCACCCTCTAAAGTTACCTTGGCCTAATGCTTGGTGATTATCATGGTGAGTGAATACTATTAATGAATAGTGAAATATGGAATAAAAGTAATGAATATTTCTGAGTTATTTTAGGGATACTTTAAGGTCATGTATGTAGCATCACACAACGTTTCTAGAGTAACTATTGGAAGAGGATTTTTAAAGCTGTTTTTAATTTTGTTCCATGTGTAGCAAATCACTACAGATTAACAATCTATTAATAATGGTTCATTTAAAAAAACTTTAAATTTAGAATTCCTGCCTTAGTGTTTAGATTGGAGGAAATACTTTATGTAGCATATTGTATTTCTTGTAATAGGTATATTAAACTTCAGTTGCAGTGTCTTGCAAATGTCAACCCTGCTGATGTAGTTACTGCTTTTTAATAGATCATTGACCCGTCAATCAGACTCTGACCATTTCAGAGATAAAAAACTAGGCTTTCATTGGCTTTTAGGAATAGAGCACCTTTCCACAAATTAGGAAATGGTGTAATAATTAACAGGTATAATGGATATGTGCATTCAGGTTTCAGTTGTATCTTTATGAGCTTTAGCTCCTGTTATCTGTGGTGTAGTTAACCCCCTGTCTGCCCACAGATAATTTAATTACAGTATAAAATGCTAATAGGATTGATAGATTTTTTTTTTTTTTGCTTATTAAGATCTATGATGAATTGTTCTTTCAGACTTTTTATTTAAAACAAGGCCCAGAACTTCATTAACAAAACTCATTAAGATTGTAAAATTCCGTTCTAAAGCATCATAACAAAGGTTCTGTACACAGTTTTGCATGCAGAGAATTTAGGTAAACTTTAATTTATTTTTCTTTCTGATTTACAGACTTGAATGATTTTAGGTACTGATGTTTCCTAGTATAGGAAGGAGTTTAGTATCTTTGATTTAAAAAGTCACTTGAAAATTGCCAATGGAGATGATTTGGTAGTGGACTTATTATCTGAACCAGAAAGTAGGCAGAGGTCACTTACCATTCCTAAGCTCTAAGTATTGTAAGAAAAATGTAAATTTAAGGTTTTGAAAATATAAATTATATTTTAGTTGAAAAAATTCATAATTAACATAAAGATTTAATTGCTTTGGTGTAATCATAGAAAGGCTTGGGTTGGAAGGGATCTTAAAGATCATCCAGTTTCAACTCCCCTGCCTTGGACAGGTACACCTTTCACTAGACCAGGTTGCTCAGGGCTCCATCCAACCTGGCACTGAATATACTGGCACTGCAAAATATGAATAAAGAAAGCAAATCCTAAGTTCAGAGAAGTTACAGAACTGGAAAGTTAAGGAAAACTTTCTGAATCTATATGTAACTTACTAATCTTTAAACATGACAAGAACCAAAAGAGCAGTGCTACTTAAATGAGAGGCTGATTAATTACTGTATAACTGGACTTTTACCAAGATAGAGAAATTATTTTTGTTTTAGAAAGTGTTTTCCTATTAAAGTATTGTTGACTTCTCAATTAGCAAACGTTTCACATTTTATATGCAATACTGTTACAGATGTGTTCTTATTTACCAGATATTTATTCAGAACACATTTGTATGGAGGCTCACATCTTAAATTCATCAGTCTACTGGAAGACTGGCATAGACATCCTTCTATTATAAAGTCAGTTTAATCCATCTCAGGGAAATGCAGTTGCCTAATGATACCAGTTACCCCTATATGTTTATGGTAGTAGATTTTGGCAGTGTTCAGTTTATTTTGTTTTAGTACTGTAGCAAGACATCACTTACTATTCATACATCTTTTTCATGTCAATGCTGCCAAGGTATAAGGTGTGTTCATAAAAGGAAATACTTGGATACTGGTCTAAAAAGAAAAATATTTTCAAAGTACCCCTTTAATATTAGTCACAGATGTGTTTATAAATGTAAATGTAAAAAGATGAGGCTTTTTGGGAGAAAAATCAGAAATTGTTTAATTATATTTGGCAGTGTCATGCCTGCTGTAACTTGAGTCCTAATTACTGCAGCTGCCATAGGAATTAGCTGGTTTAGACTACGCTGTGAGACTGTGCCAAAATCTTCCAGGTCCTCAAAATGAAATCCTCAAGGGAGGGAGAAAGGTGTAAGGGGCACAGCAGTTGTCTTTTTGAAGTATGCCAAAATAACAGCTTTGTTCAATTCAGACTCTGCATAAAGACTTTGAGTGTAATGTGTGTGTATATATATATGTAGAGAGAGAGAGAAGAAAATCTGGGGCTGTTAGGATATGTTTACATTTACACCTTGTTGTTTTCATAAATTGGTAATGCTTTTGGTTAAAAATAGTATAGTAGTACTTGGGAATTAAAAAACAGATCTAATTTTCCATGAGCTTAATATGGGGAGCAGACAGAATTACAAACAAAAAACCCAGTGCTTATTGTTCGATTCTTCAGTGATGGTTCTCCTTCAAGTCTTAACTGGTTAATTAATTGTTCAACCCTGATTATAGGAAGAATACACCTGAAATATGATACAGAATATCTCTGGAAGTAGAGTGAAGTATAGCTGCCTTTCTAGGATCTTCCTTTATACTGAACTTCAAGTATTGAAATGGTACATTTAGCCCATGAAATATATAATTGTCTAAAAGCTTTCCTTTGTCACTCTTTTCTGGCTTTAAGCTATGAAGTGCGGAAATTTTCTCCAGTACAGTATGTGAAGTCCTGCATTTTATATACAAAGTAATCTGGGACACTTGGCAGTTTTTTTTATTTTAATTCTGAGTACTTTACACTGTGGCATCTTAAGCACTAACTTTTCTATGACTACAAATCTCTGAAAGGTCTTGCAACTCCAGGTTGTAAGATTGCCTCTAAACATACTGTTCTAATTATCTTAACTATTTAGCAGCTAAATTAGCATTCCAGTGTGCACAGAACTCAAGAATTGAAGTATTGAATGGACTCATTTAAAATGTGCTATGGAACAAAAGAGGTTGAAATGGCATAGGCTTGTGTCAGAATTCTACAGGTCAACATCTTTTGTTCTATAGAACATATGTGCACTAAATATTCTGGAATCCATTTGAACCTTTTATTCATTTGAACCTCCTTATTAAGAGACATTCATATTGTTATACTTTAGTGTACCTAATTAAGAAAGATACCCATTTGTAAAGGCTGTAACCAAGGTAATCACAAATGAAAAAGTCACCAGTAGATATTTTAAAATGGAAGAAATTATTTAATCTCATCACTTAGGTTACACTTCTGAAGTTCATTTAAACTAATCAAAACATTTTCTGTTTGTCATAGATTTGTTACTGAACTTGTTTTTATGTCATGTATTGAGTAGACTTTTATCTGCAGAACTTACTAACATCACTTACTTAGGGGTTCAACCTCACTATCACTTTGCTTTGTCTTTCCCTTATCTGATCCATTATTTTAGTGTTGAACTGTAAATTCTGTCTTTCTGCTTATTTGTACATTGCCATTCTTTACATAACTGAAAGCTTTCACAGGTTTGAGAATTATCCTTTAAAAGTTACATTCTTATGAGACTAAATTTAGATGTACAAGTACAGAAGTTTGGATACTCTGTTTTAAGCATTCATTTTTTAATGAGTATAAAACTGAATGCAGACAGTTACTGTGTTTTGTACCTTCTTTGAATTTTGCCATATCTAATTTTAGTGGTTGTGTATTGCTTTTCCAGTGACACCAATAATATACCAGAGATCAGTGTTTCAGGATGTTTATAGTTTTTCCATGTTAAGTGATCTTTAGAAATACGCAGATTTATCGACCCCTAGTGGGGTTGTGGGGAAAATGGTTGCTAACTTAATAAGTGCTAAATGAAAAATGTGCATATTTTTCAATGCTGTATTTGTTTCAATGCTCTTTTCCTTCTCTTCACAGCTGGATTAGCTCTTGAATTTTTTCTGGCATTCTCTACATCTGCAGAAGTACCTATTGCAGCAACTTCTGTTAGCAATAACACTCCCAAAACATGTAGCTAGACATCAGCATTTTAATGAACACTCGTAGCTGTAGCTGCATATTTTAAAATTATATTTGTAATTATATAGCAGAAATTTAAAAAAATAGAAGGTCTTTTGTGCTATGTAAAGTAGCTAGAAAAGCTACTTCTTGAGTCGTGTGATACTGCTTAAATGAATTAAAGCAAATTCTAAATCACCTGCTCAAGTTTCACTGACCTCTTAGTGCTTATTAAATAATTATAATTTATTAGTAGTAGCCCAAACACTTCAGTTTCTTAAACCAATCACTTAATATAGTGGTTGTAAAACAGCATGTAAAATATTGCATTACTAGCAAACTTTAATTTTAAATGGCTCTAGTGTTTTTAATCATTTAGTTGAAACTCTAATTTTCTGGGAGATGAAATTATCTTCTAACTGTGCTGTGAAAGTTTCTTACAGGCATTTATTTCACATGAATTAAAATCAAAGTCCTGAATAATGAATTCACATATGACTGTTTAATTAGCAATAATAAATGAAGATAAATAGCTTGATAATTAAACTTAATTTTAACTTCACTATAATGTGTTTCCGAATATCAGAATCAGAAACTAGGGAGTACTGTAATTTATTTTTCTATGCAAGTTTGACACAAGAAATAAATATTAAATATTTTTAAAATAACTTCCATTTTTTTAGATATTGTACATTTATTTTTATAGGCTTTAAGTAGTAAAGTAGTGTTTTTACCAGTTAAACTGTGAAATGCTCCTTTGAATTTTATGTATTTTTAAAGTTGTTAAGAGAAAGTGAAATATTTTTTTTTTGCATTTGCTAATATTTATTATTGTGCTTATTGCATAAGCCACATTATTTAAAGTCAAACTTGCACAGCAGTCAGAAATGTCAAAAAGACCTCAGATTCATGTTTTTGTGGGAGCACCCCATATTCCAGGCCCACTGGAGGTGTTAGAGCAAAGCAGTTCAGCACCTACTGCTGAAAAATGGAGAGAGCTGCACTGTTTGTGTGATGCACATGGCCTTTTCTCTGAAAAAGTCCAAGGTGCTGCTGACCCCTCAGTGTTCCAGGCAGGAAACTCCATAGTCAGAGCAGTTCCTACAAGGGATGGCAGCGCTCAGCAGCCTGAACAGGGAAGGGCAGTGGCAGCAAAAGAATGTTTGACATCTCTTGTACCCGTGGCAGTAAGTTGTGCCAGCACACCTACAGAGACCAAAAGTTTAACTTATTCTGATTGTCAGATATCTGAGGATAGATACACACCTGCAAATGTAAATCAGGCTGCAGATCAGCACCTTCCCCAGAACTTTGCAGAATCAGCTGGACAAGACAAACCATGGCGTGGCTGCTGCTCAGACCTCACGGAGAGCAAAGCCGGTCGCTCGGAAGCGAACGGCGCCGACATTTCCGAGTTGGTTGCCAGCACGAAGCAGATCAGCATAAATCTGTCTGTGGGACTGCAGTCAGGTGACAGAAGTGATCATCATGAACATCTGGGTCAATATCTGGATATGGTTTTCCGAAAAAGTCAAGGGTCAGAACCAGAAGCACCGAACGGTTGTTCAAACTGTGCAGTGTCAGCAGACACTGAGTTTCGCAGTGTAGTGACATCAAGTCAGATGGCTGTTCTTGCACAGGAGCAGAGTGAGATGCTGGAAAGAATCATAGAACTGTCAGAAACAGAGACAGGCAAAAAACCTGAAGAAAGGCAGTATGATCACTTCCAATTTGATTCTGGTGTTGGAACGTGTACTAATGTGGCTGAAAATGAATATAAGGAAGACTATACAAATTCTCTTGATCTTTTCAGTTCTGAGGATGATGGGAAAAATGTTTGTTTTGAAGCTACGAAACAAGAAGGAAGTGCTCAGGAAAACATAGGGAAATTACAAGAAATTGAAGTTCCTGCTGAGCCCTTGGTAAATGAAATCCATATTGAACCACTGAGCTCTGGAATATTGTGCTCTCAAGTAGACAGTTCTCATAAGAACTCTTCTAAAAGACCCCGCAAGTGTGAAGATTCCTTTCATCTTTTTCACTCAGCATTTAAAAGGCAGCTGGTATCCAAGAGAGCTAAATTGCATTCTTCTCCACCTGGTCCTGGTACTAGAGTGGATCAAGAGAGGATGACAGAGTTCAAGAAACTTCAGAAGAAACTATCATCACTGAAGAATTGCTGCTGCAAAAATCAAAAATACAATGTTTTGGTCACAGTAGTACATCCTTGTCATATCAAAGAAATACAAGTAAAGACTAGACCAAAATCTCCATGTAAAGTTCCTGTAGCAACAATTGTTGTTATTGACCAGTCAGAAACTGAGAGAAAGGTGGTGCTGTGGCGTGGTGCTGCATTTTGGTCCCTCACTGTGTTTCCTGGGGATGTTGTGCTGCTGACAGGTGAGAGTTCTTTTATTTGCCTTTTTAAAAGTATTAAAGTAGAAGTTTAAAGTACCAGTAGAAGTTTTAAACTTTTATTTAAAGTAGAAGAATATGTTACAAGTAATTTGGAACTATGGCTAAAGCATTTTTGAGTATCTTTCTTGCATCACTTGCCTTGTTCAGCATCACTTTGAACTCTCAGTCATGCTGCCAGTGGAACACTGACTGTCCCACAGAGGTTTGCCCACAGACACAGCCATGCCTTGACACTACAGCAGTGCCATGGGTAGGCAGATGTATTCTGGAAGGTGTCAGTGTCTTACAACAGTTGTTCTGGAAAAGTACAAGTGCTACTGCAAACCAGATGTGCTAGTTGTTTGACTTACAGACTTCTTTGTAACTCTGCTGTTGGACCAGCAGGTAGACCAAAAAATTGTGATGTGAAGTTCAGTCTCAAGATGGGAAATATTCTTCCTCCTATGAAGGACTTTGTAATGTAGCAGTAGCATCTTGAGATGGATAATGTTGTGAATTGGTAACCAACACAGACTGCAGAAATACAAAATGCTGTTTGTAGTTTACCTCTTTCATAACATGTCAACCAATAATGTAGATTCCTCTTGATAATTCCTTTGTACTCTTTAGTACCTAACAGGAGCAAAACCCTCTCTTCAAGAGAACACATTTTGTGAGCAAATGCAATACTTCAAAACCAATATTGCACCTAATTTGGGGCTGGAGTGGCCCAGAACTTGTTAGTGATCCAGCCATTTAGGTTTGGCAATATGCAAAAAGTTAAACAATATCAAATTGTTTGAATACTTCCACAGTTTAAGGTGCCTATTTCTCTTTGTTAAGAATTCTTTAAGTGCTCAAAGGTAGATGTTTCAAAGAAATTGAAGACAAGTTGTCCTTTTTCTTTTCTGCTTAGACATTCTTATTTCAAAATATATTAAAAGTGTTTCTAGGTAAGCCTAGTACTGTACTACTCATTTTGAAGTTTTGTACAATAATAGTTTATCCAATATGGTCACCCACTTCACTTAAACAGTGCCTGCCAGGAGGCTAATGAATTTAGGAATTACATCAAACTAATGAGAAAATATGATACACTTCAATATTGTTGATACATGAGCTGATAAGGTTGCTTTTTTGTTGCAGATATAATAATGTATGAGAATCTTTGGTGTGGAGAAGTCATGCTTCAATCTACATTTACCAGCCAGTTACTGAATCTGGGGAACTGCTCAACTCTCAATCCAGAAGAATGTAAGATTATAGTGCATAAGTTTCCATGAAAATCACAGTAAAATAGCTATTTAAAGTATTCTGTTTTGCTGGCAATGCCTCACACATGGAATAAAATGGAAATATGTGCAACTGAGAGGTACAAAACACTGTAGAAAAGTATGACAGAAACACCTGTGGACAACATGTGGACATAATGACATCAGATAGGCATGTGGAGTTTATGGTAAAGTTTGGTGGTTACTGCTCAAAACTCTGAAAAATTGAGTTCTGTGAGTTCAGTTTAAGAAAGAGCAGTTATCCCAGGACTCGACCATTTGATGTCTGAAATTGCACAAGGATTAACCTTTTTGCAAAAACTTCAGAGGCTTAAAGAGTAAGTAGATCCATCCAGGGAAAGTAATTCATTATGGAAGACTAAGGAAAAAATACAGTGGAAGTACCACCATGATTGCATTGTTCTTACTGTCTTTGTGATGTCCATTATTGCCAGCTGTTTGAGGCAGATTCTGATGTAAATGGTCAAGAACAGCTATTCTTCTTACCAAGCTATGAGACAAGATTTCTTTGCTATATTTAGTGTAATTTTAAGTATTGTGCTTAGCTTAGCTTCAGGATGTTATCAAGAGGAGGCAAATGAAGTACAGTTTAATTTCAGATCGTGTTACACATGTCAAGGTTTTCTTGCCTTAAAATTGAAACAGTTTTGATTTTGTGAGTGTAAATATGTTCCAAGCAGTAAGTTTTATACTTCTAAGCATACTATGTAATTTTGACTTTTTTTTTCCTATAAGTTTATCCTTTAGGGGATTGTGGTGTTCTCCGTGGCTTATTGGCATACATATCATCAGAATTTCCACACTTCAGAGACATTCCACGAAGACAAGTTCAGAGACTGGATGGTGTTCAGTACATGCAGCTAGATCAGCTCCAGCCAAACACATTGGTGCACTCAATCCTGAAAATTATCGACATTGCTGTATTAACAGGTGAGTTCATGCACTGGACTTCAGCTTCTGTGTTAGATGAAACTTAAATAGTAATTTTGCAAGGCAAAATGTTCTCAGTGCTTGAGTTCAAGCTTTGCACGTAAATTTGATCATATTGCACTATCAACTTGTATTAGTAAGATTCAAACTTTTACCCACACTGTCAATATCATATTTATTCATTATAAGTGGAGAGTTTTGAAGATAGAAATCTTCGTAATTTGCTATAGTATGTAAATCTCAGAACTGTTAGATATTTAATGCAAGAGGTCTTGTTGAAAAATTATTTTTTTATTAAGGATACTGTAGTTTTAGTATGGAACTAAGATAGGCAGTATGCTGGGTAAGAGTCACGTAGAGATCTTAATTGTTTCAATTTATATGTACTGTTCCTAATACTTGTAGTGTGCCTTGTACATGACTGTGGTTTTCTTTTATGTGAAGACTTCTCGAGAAGTGTTTTTTTCAGTGTATTCCACACAAGTTACAGGAACTTTAACTTTCAGTTATGACAATCAGTTTGTTTCTACTCAATACAAGCCAGGATGAGTGGGAGCTGAAAGATGCTCACATGCCTGTTTTTTCAGAGGGGGATGTCCAGTTGCTGAGTATTTAGGTGTATAAAAGTAACTTAATCTACTTTATGCACTCCTTCAAACTAGATTCATGTTGCTGAAGAAATCAGATGGTTTCCTGTCCTGAAGAAATTGTAGGTGTATTCTTCTCTCCTTGTAATTGCACTGTAAAATATGATAGCAACATGATTTCACCTTAATACTGGGGTTACATGCTTTTTACTGTAGAAGTAATGTAATTTCAATTTTTTTCAGAATCTGTGTATAGCTACAAAGGTGGCAGGCAAAGAAAAATTATTTTAACAGTAGAACAGAACAGAGATCAACGCTATAGGATGGTTCTGTGGGGAGCAGGGGCTGCCTGGTGCCCTCAGCTTCAAAGGAAAAAAGGTAAAGTCCTTGTACCTGCTGGTTGCTGTAGAAGGATTTTTGTGATGCTGTTAATATCTTTAAAATGTTCTGCTGGTAACATTTGCTATTCAACCTTTAAATACTTCCCTTGCAAGGGTAACATATCTGATAGCATGTCTACTCTGTTTAGGAGCAATGCCATCATCATCAGAATTTGAATGCACTTACCTTAGAAGACCGAGAAGACATAAATATTTAAAAATTTGAATCTAGAGACAAGATGCACCAGTGCCTGGTTATCTAACTATTAAAACCCATGAGTGTTAACTATTACCAGTTTTGCTGGGTCTTCCTTATCGATGTCAAGTTCAGCATGAATTGCTGGTTTTTTCTGCTTCTGATGTTCATTCTCTGCTTTCCACCTTGCTGCAGTGTCAGGCTTTATATCTGAATGGTCTTGCAATCTAGTCTGGCTGTAACTGCCTAGAACCATCTCTTGCATTAATTACATAGCTTGTGTTTCAGCAGTGACTGGCTGTTACCAAATTCTGACTTTTTCCTGGCTTTGTTCTTTAAAAATAAGTGAAAGTAGGTTTTTGTTAAATTGATAACTTCAGTTTCTGCTTCTGATCAATGAATACACTTAGGAAGTAAATGGTGTATTACTTGAAATGCTGAATATGCCTGCCTAAAAAGCCAGTTTTCATACAGTACAAGATAAAATCCATAAAGGTTAAACAACTTCATAGTGAATCTTTACCTGTTAAATTCTGACACTCCGAATTCTGCCAGTTCTACTTCAATTTATAAGTAATCTCCATCCCTGGAAATCATTTTAACTGCAAGACCTAACCTTTTAAACTACTTGAAGAAAATGGTCCAATTCAAGCAATAACTTTTCTATGTAATGCCTACATGGCTCTTATTTTTGTGCATACTTGAGTGTTAGCAGGTGTATACTGTTTGTTAGATGCTTAGAAATCTTACAGAATTCAGTCATCTACAATATTACTTTTAAAAATATAGAGTTTGATTTTTTTTGGTAGCTGCAAAAAGAGGATACCAAAGGTAATTTATTAGACACAACAATATATCATTCTGTGATGCTTAGAATGGAAAAGTATAACATGTAGATCTCTGTAGTATTGTGTTTGTAAACCTTGTGTCTTATTCTCTAGCTAGTGTTCTGTGCATCTGGCAGTTGGCATTTTTATGATTAAATGATTATTTGAAATTCAAGATGAGGGATTGTTCAAATACTTAATTGTGTACAAACCATGAACATTTGATTCCAGTAAGATGGCCAAAAAGATAAATTCACAGGATACTAGAGCATACACAGTACAGCAGCTAAATAGTGTGAGTGGGCTACAGGAGAACCACGATGTCCACAAAGTCCTTGGCAGGAGTTGTACCACAGCTCTGTTATGTCTTTACTGGTTGTATGAGCAGATTAGAAACTCCTTAGTCTTGTAGAGGAAGGTATGGAGACATCTAAATATCATTTATTTTTCATCTCTTGCTAAAAATCAGTTTAGACTTCCAGTACACAGTCATCAGACATTCAGTTCATGATTTACACTCACCTGGTTTAGATTGCCAAAAAATAAAGATGTATTTCATTAAATACATTTCTGTAAACTTGATTACTTATAGTTTACTCACATTTCTGATAGATCTCAGTAATAGTTTAATTCAGGTGTCAGCCAAATCTCGTTCCCTAGTTAGACTCTGTCCCTTATTTCTATATATCCCCTCTTGCCAAGTGTCTCTTTGTTTCCTCCTGTTTAGATTTCCCCTTGGTGTTGCTGTAGTGTTACTGCCTGAAACATTCCTTTGGACTGAAGTGTACTCAGTTCTTGAGGGCTGCAAGATCTCTAGTCAGTTATGAGCTGCATGAAACTAGATGAATGCTCAGACAATTTTTTGGAAGTATTTCACTGTAAAACAGTGCATCTGACAGCGCATTTTTCATGGGCTTGAAGTTGTAGCATGTCACCACCAAAAATCAGGCTCTAATCCAAAACAGGAAAATGCTAAAACTTGTAAGTGACCTTGGCTTGCTTTAAATTAGCCACAGTATAAGAAAATAAACTCTTCTGTTCGCTTTTTTTGTTCAATAGATCACATATGGGACTTCAAATACCTTCTGGTCCAATGTAGTTCTGTCTCAGGTGACTTGGAACTGCACACAACTCCATGGTCATCCTGTGAGTGCTTGTTTGATGATGACAAAAGGGCAATTGAATTTAAAGAAAAGTTTCAGAAAAGCCAGACATCCCTCATGCAGTTGACAAAGCTCTCTGCACACTTGGAGGAAAAATGCTCAGGTAACTGTTATCCGTAGTTCTGTAGTCTCCTGTGCAGTGCTTAACTAACCAGAATAGATGCTCTGTTGGTGAAGTAAAATGCTTGTTTTAAGGTAGCACAGGTCTGGGAGTCTGAATTTATTCTGGAGGCTGCTGCTCACTACTCAACCAAACTGATGCAGCCTTTATCTCATGAGCCCAGTGGTGAGATGGGTGGGGTGTGTGGTACCATACAAAGACAACTTTGGAACATAGGGAGAAATGCTGACTTTAGTTATCCACACCAACCAGCCTTGTAATTAAATGATTAATCACTGAAAGCTTGTCTAATAGTATTTCTCCAAAACTAGAACTCTCTAAATCAAGAGTAAAATAGCTACTGCTATTGAAAACTTCTTACAAAAGAACAAAGAAAACATTTTACACAGTCACCCCCTCCCAGATAAACCTAAAAGATTGCTAGGTTGGTGTTAAATTCTAGGAAGTAACTAAAGTTGGTGTTGCAGCATTTAACTGTTAAAATAATGGAAAGCTAAGTTGTTAAAGCTGTGATTTTCAGTGTCTCTGAATTAGTGAAAAGAAAATCACTTGGAAATTATCTGCACAATTTTGTTGTCTTATTCAGGCACTTCTGTAGAGGCATCTACAACAATACTACCTGAAAATGTAGTATTAAAATGTACTTTTATACATTTTAAAATAGTATTTAACCACAGTGATTTTTCCTTACATAAAATATCTCTAAAAATATGAGCATGTCTTACTAAAGGGAAAAAAAGGCCGAAAGTTTTATTGATAGTGATGTTGGTTTTGAATCAGCTGCAGCTCTTGCTTTTGCTTTCGGTTATAAATAAAACTGAATTCATATTTGATTGGACTTGTTTTTGTAGGAGTGATTCAAGTGAAAGCCCATATCTTAGAATTGAAGTTTACCATTTCAACTGGTCAGTACAAGCAACTCATCTTCTCTGCTGACACTTCACTGGAGTGTGTTTTGGCTTCTCTGCCTATGATTACATATTCAGGTTGTGCCAAATGTGGTTTGGAACTGCAGGCAGATGAGAACATGATCTACAAGCAATGTATTAGATGTTTGCCATACAACAAAGTAAAAACATTCTACAGGTAAACAAAATAAAGCTAAAATACTTTTTACTATTAGGGAAGTAAACTGCAACTTTCTCCATTTTAAGTTCCCCTATATATAAAATTCTTTATTTAAGGTGTGGTAAGCAGTCCTTGTCTTTCTAAGTGAAAGTGAATGTTCAAAGAGTTTTTCCTGAATTGCTGTATTATACTGTCGTTATTTGTGTGTGATATTCTTAGTTTAAATTGTAACTTTTTAATTTCTTTGAGTACTATGTCATACAGAAATGATGTTTACCCAGTACTGTGTGAGATGAAGCTAAGATGGAGTAGAAGCTTGAGGACCGAAGGAAAACTTAAAGAGTCTTGTTCAGCCTGAGTTTGAAATTGTGTGAATGCAGAACCATATTTTTAAACTGAATAATCAGTTTTAGCCTTGCAGAAATAACATTGATAAATGTTTTCAATCAACATTCTCAGAGAGCAGAAAGGCTGAGTTATCACCAGATGGCACTGTTAGACACATACATTCACACTTAGAGAAAATAAACTAAGCCTATCCAGTTGATGTAGGAACATTGTTATTAACTAATTGTTCAATTTTTAAATTTATCTTGGGCTTTCAAAATGTATCACAGTGACTTAAAAGATGTGTAGCTAGAGAATGTTAATTGAGACAGTCACGGATGCAATAGAATTGTAGAATATGTAAATTTTCTATCTAAATTCTTTCTCAAATTCTTTCTAAACTCTTTCATAGTGAGTTTAATGAATCACTGACTTAAATACTAATATCCTCTTTATCTAACAAGGTATGGAATTAGTATTTTTCCTCTAAGCAAAATGGTCTTGCATCTTTAAGTTTATATGCTGTTTGTTTTCCTGTCAGGGAGGATTAAGTGTGAAGAGGGTTTTTTTTCCTTAACTGGAAAGGTTCCCACACTCTTTCATAAGATTATAGACTCTCAGTGGGCCTGAAGGACCTCAGTTTGCTTCTTCACAAAAGGTGGTAGAAAAATGCTAGATTTGTGATGTTTGTACTCTCAGCATGTGAACACAGCTGGTGGAACTTCCATGCCCAACTTTTTCAGAGAAAAGCCTGTCGTTTTTACACTGAAATTTTGCTCCCATTAGATTAATAAGAATGCATCACCTTAGTAATATTTCCAGTGAAGGATTTTTTTGTTTGTTTAGTGGTTTGTGAAATCATTTGGTATTTGTCATGGTACAAGTGATGTACCTTGGTATTATGTGGCTATAAAGTGATGTATTAAGACAGATTATATTGGGTGATGTTGACAGAGATGATACAATTCCAAATGATCCACCTAAGCTCATCTCCCTACTTTGCATTTCAATATGTTATGTACGAATTGTATGTTTGTAGGTACATATACTTAGATATAAACATTTATACTTAAAGTTCAGAGCCATAAGTAACACTTACAACAGTGCATTTCTCATTGTCTTCCCAGGAAGCCAAGTCATAAAGCATTTTTTTCAGCATTTGTCTTAAAGTAAGGCTTACTTTAGAAGTTACTTTAACATTGAGTAGTAAATTCAGTATATACACTTCAAACTGATTCCAGTGCTACAAATTTGACAGATGAGCCCATAGAGATTTTCTTGTTTTTCGAGTTCTTGGTGTTATGTTGCAGAGTAATATTAAATTGTCTTACTTTCAGAAATTTTGCTTCAATAAAAAACCCAAAATGTAGCAGCTGTCTTTCAAGAGACTTTTGTTTTCTGATCTAGACCTGCTCTGATGACAGTAGAAGATGAAGGATATGAAATTTATGTTCATGTTGTGTCTGAGTTGATGGAAAAAATCTTCCTCAATATTCCTGCAGACTGGCTGAACAGATTACTAGGTACTGTTCCATGAATTATTTATGATAGAAACGGGCAGCAAATTGACATTGGAATCAAAATTTTTAGTTACTGACAGTTTAAAAGAAAAAACAACCCAACAACCAACATCAGAGAATATTTCAGTTGCTGTCTGAGAAAGAAGTTCAGAGTGCAGGTGGCAGCTACAAGAGGCAAGATGCTGTGAACATTTACTATATAAGTAAATAGGTGTAACTATATAGCTAAATATTCAATAGCTAAATGGATTCCTTATAGGCAAAATAGAGTCTTTTAGCAGTTTTTATAAATAGCTGACATGCTTTCAAGATGTGAAACACTGAGAAGTGGTTCAGACAAGCTTCTCTTGATACATCCTATTTGACCTGAGAGGCATTTTATGTGATTCACAGATGTTAACAGTTTGATGAGAAACAGGCTCAGCTCGTTGTTTTTAAAACAGAATTAAAAATAAAAGCTAATTTTCTACTCAGATGTTGAACTACATTTCCAGTGATTCAGTGGAGCTTTTATGGAGGTAGAACTTGAATGCTAGGTGCTATTGTGAAAATCAAGTGTAAATTGAATTGTTGTCTTTTGCAGTGCCCTCCTCAGATATAACCTACAGCACAGTAGTAGCAGATCTGTGTCATTCACTGCTAACAGATACAGAAGCATCCTATTTGTTGGAAATCAGGAGCCATTTTGTGCTAGATGAGAACAGCTACCCTTTGCAAAAGGATTTCCATCTGCTGAATTTTCATCCTGATTTTTGAATTACTGACCTCTGCGGTAACTGAGTAACAAAGATTGTAAGAACACACAGGTGGCAATCAGAAGAAAAACGAGTTAGGTGAAGGAAGCAAATATCTTAAAAAAAATTACAATAAAGGACTTTAATCTTAACTTATGAAAAAAGCAAAACCACCTAAAGGATTGATATGGAATATGTGCTGATAGTATATACTGCTGTTGTAATACTGGTGAATTGTCATAAAGTATATTTTTATACCTGTATTTTTATCTTAATAAACTCTTCCTGGATATGTGTTTGCCTTTTTCTCTGCAGAAAAGTTCACTACAATTGAGAGACTGAATTTTCCTCAGATCTGGAAGATTAGAGGAAGGCAGACAGAATTCAGTAATATTTTAGTTATAAGATTTTTGTTTGTCTGATTCTGTATGCTATCTGTGACTTAGTTATGTCTTTTGGTTTGATGTTGTGGTTGTTTGCTTGAGCATTTTGAGTTTAGTAAGACTCGTGAGAAGCAGTCATCAATTGCATTAGAGAAGCCCTAAAGATTGTTTTATATCCTGTCAATGTGTAGTCTCAGCTGGTTGATTTGATGCCTTGGAGCAGAAGTCATGCCCTCTGGATTGCCGAGCTCTGTGTGGGTAACCACCAAGTTCCATCTACTGGGCTTAGGTCTCTCCAGCTGCCAGGGACCCAACTGCCTCATTCTCTTCTCAGGGTTTTGCAGATGGCCCCTCTGACTCGTGTTTAACAGCATTCCTTCTTGAAATCCAAGCTGCAAACATGAGGCCATAGTTTGGTTCCTATCTTCATTTTAATAATTCTGTGTAAAAGTTATTGTGTGTGCCTTGTGTTTACTACTCCAGACTTTTCTCCCTCCCTTTCAAAGAGGAAGTCATTTTACTTTCTGTGCCTGGCACAGATATTTCTTCTGAAGGAGCCCTCTGATGCTTTATCACCTGCGGTGCATCTTTCTCCCCTTCAGTTCCATCAAGCTGCTGCCTTTAGAATGTTTAGGAGCAAGTGATTTTCAAATCTGGTCTCTCATTTCCTTAGAGGAAGGATAGATGAGTGCAGATGGCAGTGATCATTAGGCTTTTTAAAAGAATAGTATAGATATCATTGTAATTGGGAGGAAGAGGTAAGAGTGATCCAAAAAGGATTTATAAATAAATACTCTGCTTGAGTAGTGGTAGGGCTTCTCCAGGATCCTGTTCTCTAGAACAAGAATGTCACCATTATTCGTGTTTGTTCTACAATGGTGGTGAATTGCTGCTCACTGTCATCAGATGGGGTTGTACTTTCATGAAGTTATGTGCTAGATTTATTGCAGAGCTTGAGAAATTCCTGTACTTGTCAATAGTAATGGGAAGCATTGAGGAAGCTGTCACATTTTCTATGATCTTGCATTTATTTGTTGTATGTTTTTTTGGGTTTTCTGGGCTATGCATATTTGTAAAAATTTAACATTTTTTAGAGGAAAGGTACTTCTGGTGGGCACTGAGCACTCTTGTAATCATTCCTCTTCGTTCATCTCAATTTAAGTCTCAAGCACAGGATCAGATAAAAGGTATATAAAAGGCAGTAGTTAAAAATAATTGCTACATCGTTTGACAATAATACTGTATTGTAGCTCCTTATAATGTCTCTTGCTTTACTCAAATAGCTCTTGTTCAGGAAGAGTCAAAAAGGGTCTTTCTCATTTACTTCACTTGGATGGCTGGTGAGTGCATTTAAATATGTTTCCTCATTATTTTAGCTGGAATTATTGAACATACAAGCTGGAAGCATTGTTACTTTAATATGTAAGAAGCACAAAGGAAAGAGAATCACATTAGTACAGTGCATTTTTTAATTACATGGACGATACTGTACATCAAGTCAGATGACCTGTTAATAGGGACTGTACATTACGTGCATATTCCTGCACAAACTAGTAAACCAGCTGTCTGAAACGTTACTAACAGGTTGCTTTTAAGATCTTTATTGATATTATTTAAGTAATGAAGGAAAAATTTCTTTCATAAAATTGTTTTATTATATTAATATGTAAAGTGTATAACTGTACGGTTTTCCTTCCCAGATCAAACATGTTGCTTATCAGATTGGTTTATGGTAGTTTTGTAGGAGTAAAATTTGAAAACAGCTCACTGGGGTTGAGGGTGCTGGTGTTACTCGTTTAGCCAAGATGTCATTAGGGTTGAGCACTTTGTATAATTCAGTTTTAATGTAATGCATCTAGGCTCATCTTGTATCCAAGGGTGCAGTTAGCAAGACAGACTGAGGGTACCATGTAACATTTCAGATGGTGGATCAGGGAAGTCTGTTATCTTACAATTACTCTGTGATATCTTCTCATTCATAATATTTCCTTTAGATAATAATTGATATTATTGAAACAATATTATCAAAATGGGAAAGCATTCTCATCTCTCCAAAGAAGTCTCATCTTTTTAATATATTTAATTAATTGCTGTTGTATCCTGTTTGAAAGGAAGTTGGTTTTATTTCAGCTGTAGAGATTATGGTCCTCTTGGAACACAATTGTACAAAATATTTTGTTGCAGTAGTCAGTCTGGCTGGCTTATGACTGTACAGTGTGAAAGGCACAGAGTTCAGGTCCCCAGTGAACAATCAAGAAGAGAAGAATGTTCTATTTTATTTTGATTAAGAATAATTGCTCCAAATTACTTTATGGAAGAGTAATTTACTTAACAAAGATAACTCTACTGCTAAAACAGATATATGCCTTGGGGGCTTAAGCTAATTGGATTTTCAATGTTAGAATGGTCATACCAGGTCAAACCCAAGATTCTTTAAATCAGTGCGCTGTCTCCAGCAGAGACATGTTTAGAGGAAAATATGTAAGGGCAGGACAGGTCCTTTTCTTATGTTCTCAGAGTATTCCAACACTCATGAAAACCTCCAGTCACTTGTGACTTCATGACTTCTATGCTTGTCCCTTCTATGCTTGTGCCAACACAGAGTGTTGTATGTTGGGGTCAGGTGAAAACACTGAACTGCAAGAAATACACTGTGCTGAGGGAAACAGGTGCTTCTGGGGTTTTGACCCATAAACAGTTCCTTCCACCCTTCCTAATCAAAAGAGGTTTTAAATATAATGCTGCTATTTTGAATAAACTGTAAATTTATTAGTTGGGTTTGTCAGTTTTGGCATCTTACTGGGCTCCCACCTTTTTTGGTGAAGCCACTCTGCCTGTGTTGATGCAATGTATGGGCAGTTAGGCCTGGTGTCATCACTGAAAATTTTTAGGTCATTTTGGATTCTATCCACATGATGGGTGATCATTTGTGCACAGAACTCATGACCAAGAAGTGGAATTTACTAATCAAAACAACTAATACTGGGAGATCATGTTTGGCTTTGTGTTTTGTTTACTCTGCTGTGTGTTATATAAAGTGAACATACATTTTGAAAAGGGGAGAGTTCCAGCCTACCAGGGACCAAATCTTTTATTTTTGTTTGGTTAAGGAAATAATTCAATTCTTTTATTATTGTCTGCTTAGAATACAAAATCTTAGCAAATATTTTTGTACCCTTTAGATAAGAAAGATAGTAAGAGCTTTTCCAATTTAAGGTTGGTTTTTTTATCAGTACTGCCTACATGCTGTGGCAGAGAGCATGCCATCGTTTAACCAGCTCCTTGGGCTTGCTGATCATTTCATTCCAGTGTTCAAGTTCTTTGCCACGTGTGTACATGAAAGGCCCAACTACTACTCGTCCTAGCAGAAGTGTTTCTAGGAAAAAAAATAAGCAGTTAATAATGAAATCCTTGCCTAAATTTGCATATTAACTTATATTTCTCTGGGTTATGCATATTCTGAAAGTTACTAAACCAAAATATTCGTCAAGGAATTCATGCTGGATTTCAGGTTCTGTAGTTTCTACCTGCTGAGACTCAGGTACTGCAGTAAGTGTGTACTTAGTCAGTGCAGGCCTGCACTTAAACTAGACTGTGTTCAAGGCACAAAGATCTCTATCTGCCCAGCTCCTCTACCTGAAGTTTACTGTGGAAGTTTGCCCTAGTTTTGGGCATCAGCAACCTCAGTAGGATTCATATGGTGCTCTGGCTTGGGAATGAATAAATGTAGTTACTGAGACAGCTTGGAGGCACAATATGCAGACTGCCACTGACCACCCTCTGCCAAGGAGCAAATTGTTTCTTCACACCTGGACTTTTCCCTGTGAATGGGGAAAATGATTCGAACTTGTCTGGCATGAACTTCAGAATAGTTTGTAAAGCATTTAGCTGTCTGTGAGTGAAAATGATGAAAGACTCAAGTGCTGATTCTAGTTCTCATCAATCCTCAAAGCCAAAGTACCTCCCCAAAATCTCACCTAAAGGAATTTTCTTTAGGAGTGTGTGAATCTAAATGAGGGTGTTAATGTTACATTATCAAGATCATATTTGCACTGCAGGGAAGATGTTCTTGTGAGCAGTGGAAATATTGAATTCTGATTTACTTCTCCAAGTGGAACTCCTTAGAGAATCCTTAATGGATTCTTGTAACAATTAGTAAGAGGTGGCCTCACGTATCAGGTTTTCTGCCAGGGAATGGGGATGTTGCTAATCTCTTTCTTCTTTCTCACTGCATGAACTGCTGGGATAATTAAAATTCCTATTCCACTTTCAAATTTGGTTAGCTAGAGTGAATGGCCTCAAAATTTTGTAGGTTGAGGATTACCCACAAATGTTCACAGAATAATTGTGTAAGCTTGTTTTAATAGGATACTGAAATAATACAAAAAAAAGTTCAGCACCTTGTACTGACAATGACTAGTCTGTGGTTATTTTATGCACCCTCTGTTAAATTTATCTTTAGCCTCTGAAGGAGACATATGCTTAACTGCAAATAAGTTGTTCTGCTTTTTGAAGAAACAGCCTGCGAAATACCCCAAAAATCTTATATGTTTTATGATTATTGCTGAAAAGGAATTAGTTCCTCCCAGGTTTAAACATGTCTCCAGTTTGTAAGAGATTTATGACAACTTGACTGTAATAATTTATGTAGCTTACTTTCTCCCTTGATACTCTGGAGCACAGATAGACTCAGGCTTGCTGTATCCAGCTCTGTCTGATCTGCCTTGAAACTGAAGGTTTCATTGTACACTGGATTGGGAGTTCCCAGAACAGCTGCTGTCTTTTTACTTTTGATGAATTTATTATGGTTCATCAGTGAGACTTTGACATACACACCTTGGAGAAAAAGAAATTCAAGAAGAAAAATACGTGAGAAGCAGTTGGGAGACGGCCTAAGGAATTTCTTCCCTTCAGGATTCAATATCAGGTATCAAATCAGGTCATGAGGGATTCGTGGAATACACATGACAGCCTGGCAGTGCATAACATCTGAGCAGGGAGCACACAAAGCACTGAGGGTGCAGTTCCACAGTGCACTTTCCAATTCAAGAGCTGTTAAAATGAGCAGTCACATCCTCACCCTGCGCCCTTGATCTTATATTTCTATGCCTTCCCTTCATCTGGTGGAGACTTTTTTTGCAGGCTTAGTTTGTTCAGTCAGCAGTTATTCTGGGGTGTGTGATCACGGGGCTGTTTGAGCCAACACAAGGGAGGCCGTGAGGGAGGAGCCCCATCCCAGAGATGCGGCCTGTGCTCGCACTGGGTGTGTGCAGCTGAACAGATCTCACAGTCACCTGGACCTGTGGTGAGGGGTTCTGTAGAAAATCTGAGGAAGAGATCAGTGATCTCTCCTCTTTCTTTTAAAGAATACTACAAAAATCGTGGGGGACACATGCCAAGAACAACAGAATTTTGCCTTGCTTCCTGAGGGGGACCGGTATTGCGTTATGGTCTTATTCAGTAGATCTTTGACAATGAGATCCAAAGCAACCTGAAATTTTCTGCTGCCTGTTTTTGTTTTGAGTGTTTAGATTTTAAAGAGCGTTTTGAGGTAATCTGAGAGACCAAGGACATGAGTATGACATATCAGAAAAACCCCCACTGCAGAAAGGGAGGAAAATGTGACTCAGTGCCATGGTCCTTTGAACAGCCAGGCTGTCCTAAAATGGGAATTTTTTCTCACTTCAGTTCTTCCCAGGGCAACTGTTTAGCATCAGGAGTTGTCCTGCAGCTGTTACCTCTGGGAATTTGACCTGAGGCAAATCTTTTCATGTCAGTATCCCCTGCAATGCTGCTTTCTCTACCTTGGAGTGCAGCAAAGGGATATTGCTCTCTGTACTAAAACAGGAGAAAAAAATTGCCACTGATGAGATGAGACAAACCATTTATTATGAAACAAATCCCAAACATAGCAGAACTAAGCTATCAAAATCCAATTTCCCCAGTAGCAAAATATGGCTTGTTTCCACTCAAATCACTGAGATGTTTATTTGTTCTTTCCAGAGTCACTCAGCACAAGCCTGGGTGGACAGATGAGGAAGGAGCAAATTAAAACAGGAATTCTGGAGCTGATAGCAGAGGGGAAATCACACTTACCAACAGCATGGCTCTCCTCCTGGAGTTTTAATCCCCTTGCCCTCAGAACCACTACAGTGAGACGGCCCAGGTAGTCATTGTAGCTCAGGGAGAACTGGATATCACCATACTCTGAAGGAGGCTTGGGAAACAGAACACCACTTGTCAGATATATCTGAAAAACTGTGGTTGCATGGACAAATGGGGAGAAAAAGCCTTTTTCATAGTAATGGTTTCTGTCACATTAAGGGATGTGAGGGAACTGTAATGGCTTTATTTATGCCATTGTGGCATTTGATGGAATCAATTAATCGGCCTTCCTAAACCTTTGAAGTACGCTCTCTTCTGGGTTCTGCCTATTTCCTTGCCTCTCCTGCTTTTTTTTTTCTGCTCTTAGTAATTCAAAACAGAAGCAAATAGGAAAAGGTGCTTTCCTATGTAACTACCTCCTAACTCATGTGACTGTTTCTGAGAAATTGGGTAATCCCTTTATAGCAGTTGTGGATCTGCAGGTTGGTAAGATGGGGATTCTGATTCCAAAATGTTTATCAAATACTTTTTCATTTGATGTCCTTGATAGAACATGCTTCTACTTCAGCTGTATCCCTCCAACACTTGCAAGATGACAGAAGTTCCACAATGCCAAGCAGCGTGGTACCACATACCTCCAAGTTTTCTTTCTCCAGATCTCTCCATATGACTAGTTTGTTGTCATCAGTTAATACTTCATTTTTTAGTGGGAAGATAACCTGTCCTAGGAGATGATGCTTCTTGTGTTTATCAACATGATAAACCAAAAATTTCAGAGTCCTTTGGAGCAACATTTTACTGGAAACCTGTACAGGAAAAGGAAGAATTTATTAATAATTATAAAATATCTGGCACTTTTCTATTCTAGCATGACTTCAAAGGAAGAATTTTTCAAAGTATGTTGAAGGTAGGTGGAGATTTCCTTTAATTATTTGAAGTTCACTTTCTTAATATGCCTGAAGTTTTAGCTATGCAGAAGTCAAGATGCAAGCTAAAACAGAATGAGTTTATTTGAAAAATATGAAGTTAGTTGGTGGTTTTTCAGCTCATACAGATCCAGTGTTATATGATGCATTCACTTTCAGACACAAATGTCTACAAATCTGTAAGCATTTATTTTTTCAGTTGTCTGAAACACAAACTTTTTCTGGTTTTAAAGCTTTTGTCTTGTGACATCTGCTGAAAGCCTCTTAGCATGGGGGGAGCCACTCTTTACAACACTGTACAAATAGCATACCAGATAAGTTCTAGTGTCTAGCCCACTTCCACAGCAAAGAAACTAAAAGCTATGAAAGCATTAGATCAGTATTGGCTGCTTCTGGACTTCCAGAGCTGCTGGGCTGAACTGCTCAGCCATTCAAACTGGATTTTTCATCATTCCCAGGGCAAGTCCTGGAATCCTTAACTTTGGTGCAGAGCACAAGTAAGATCAGTTCTGGAGCCACACACTTCTGTAGCTCAGGATCTCCAAAAGCCTCAGTAAAATATCCCATCTCTGGTGGAAGCAACTTCTATCTTGTCAGAAGTGTTGTGAACGTTAATTTTCCACAAACTACTGTAGTTTGACAGGTTAATATTTGCTAACAAAAATCTGCTTCATTAAAAAGTACCTGAAAAACAAAGTTTTCATCAAACTGCGGGTTAAGTGTTTTACGTTTTGTTTTGGACTGCAAGTAGCTTCTTTCATCAGGCAGCAAGTAGATTTTCACAAATGGGCTGCAGGAATCAGCAGGAGGCTGCAGCTTTCTGACTTTGATCAAGGAGACCAGGAGCCTCTCTGACTCTTGCTCGTATTCTATGGAGAACCAGAGGCGGCCGATGTTGCCATCAGGAAAATCCGTCTCACTTTTGTCTTCAGGAAACTTGTACAGCTCTGGGTTAATGGTCCCTACAACGTAAGCTCCAGCTTCATGAAATAAAAAACAAGCACCTTGTAAAAAACAAGATTAGTCTCAAGACCATAGCAGGCATTTTTATAATCAATGTTGTATTAGGGGAAATCACATTAGTCTCTTAATTAACAATAATTTTTGGTGTAATTTCATATTTTATTTCTCTTTTCCTCAAATTTGGAGGAGTAGTTGTAAGGCTGCACCACTTTTCTTTCTTTTATTCCTGTGACTGTATGTAGATAGTTTTAGGTATTTGTTGTTTCAGTCTGCAACTGGTCACTGCTGTTTCTGGGAACAACAACAAGACACTTGCTGAGCTACACTCATGTTGGGCCTTTACAAAACATGGGAGGAGAGATTGCTTTGTCTGCCATATGTGCAAGGTACCACAGCACTGGGACCAGAATGGCTCTGTTCTTGCTCAGTTCCTATATATATATATATACACACACACATATAGTGTTTAGGGCTTGTACTGTGTAACACTATGTCTAATGTGCCCCTAATAAATATGACTCATAATAATCAAGTTACCCATTAAAGGAATACCCTTAAGGAGAGTCCCATTTTTTCAGTGCCATACCCAAAGAATGAAATGATGACCGTGGCCCAGACTGAGGGATCATATAGGGGTCACTGTCTTCCTGAACTTGTTCTTCATTTGTCAGGTTAATCCAGTCTCTCCCATGCAGTGTTGGTGGAATGATAAATGGAACACTCCTGGATCTGCTCAAGACAACAGCAGCTATTGACTTCTGGTTTAAATATGGAAACCAAACTTGGTAATAGTAATAACTTTACTGTTCTTTTCACACAATTTTGTAAAAATTCTACAGAGATGCATAGGTAAAAATTATAAATATCCATTGTTTTGCAATTGATTTTATTGATTTAATGCATAAATATCCAGTGAGGCACATTAGGTCTCAGTTCTTCAGACAGATTCCTCTCTATCCCTCTTTCTTTTCCTTTAGAATTTATCTTTCAAAGGAAAAGAATTAACTGCAGCTTCTTGTTTTAGAGCCCAAAAGCCCTGGTAACTAACTTTCTAAGGGAGTCTCCCTCCCTCCTGAAGTCCTGTTGTTTGGTTCTTGGATGCTTCATTATGAGACCACCAGGAATGACTCTGGAAGATAGGTGAATTTGTCTAGGTAACAAATAAACCTAGCCATGCACCAATTACATTTGAATGTAGGATTTCTTTTACATAAATCAGAAATAATCCTTGCTTTCATAGTAAAATTATTCATTTCCTAAAGAAACAAAACAGAACATGACTGATGTTTTCACATAATGTAGGAGTCTTATTTATTTCTGTACATACACATATTAGGTCACCCCCTCGTTTGAGATTTGACAAGTTGAAATAAAGTACCAGTAGTGTATGCTTTAAAAACAAAATGAAAATAGGTACCTTGTGCTTTTCAGTTGCATTTCAGGATTTGTCTGATCCTGAAAAAAGGCATTTGCATTTGTTGTTTTGACAGAACTGGTGAGCTTTTCATAAGAAAGGAGGCAGCAAAATTTTTTCCAGAGCAGGTATGCAGTCATTCCAATGAGAACAAATAGAAGGATCCCTCCTATTACAGCTCCAGCCACAGCAACTGCTTGCTCTATACAAACATAGAAGCACATAAAGCATCATAGGAAGATCAAAGTTATGGATGTTTTGGGGATAGGCAGGAATAATAAAGCTAACAAATTTATCTGATTTACATTCCAGAATGATTTTTAAATGAAGCCTTCAGCTCATGTGCACATTTTTGTCTTTGGAAGATGTATGACATCAGCAGTGACAGATGAGAAAGTGTTCAGATGTGCTGGCAATGACTGCAAGGTAAGAGACTACAGACAGGGGAAAAAAAAAAACAACCAGACCTCAAAGGATTGTTTGAGCTTTCATTTTACCTTAGCATAAGCATTTTACCTCAGCATTTCAGAAGTGCTAGAGCTTGTGTAACAAAAGAAGAAAAGCCAGGAGCACCTCATACAAAAGGTACCATTATTTTTGTTTGGTTTGTTCTTCCATTATTTTGGTTTGGTTTGTTCTTCCAACTATTCATCTATGTTGTGTTGAGACTAGGCCCTGGAACAAGGAACAAAGCAAAGCTATGGGTTGTTTTCCTTCTAAGGATGCATGTGTTTCCTGATCTGTGAAGTCAGAGTTAAGTATCCATTAAACACAATTTCCTGAATTGTGATTACTTCACATAAAACAAAATCTTGTATAATTTGGGGTTTGAGCTGTTCACACTAAAAAAACTTAATAAATGTATTTAATATGAATATGAGGAATTCTGTTGTGATAATTTCTCATCAGACTAAGGGTAGATAATTGATGATGGGCTCAGTTCGTTGCTTTTACATGTTTGCTGAGTATGCTGCACTGAAAGGCTGCAAAGACCACTTATGTTCAGTCCCCACTAGACTAGTACTGATGCATCAAGATGTGACTAGATCTCAACTGAGAACTGATCCTACCAGAATATCCTCTGTCTGAAAAAGAGCCCAGACTGCAGAATTATCTTCCACTGTGCAGCCGTGGGAGGCAGCTCAGGATCAGCTGAGTGCTGGGTGCTGACTGTTCTCAGGGTCTCCTCTGAAACTGAAGCAGCAAAGTGACCTGGTGTTTTCTCACAACTAGTATTGACCTTTTTCCCCTTCTCTGTGCTTAGGGAGATATAACTCTGATTATGCTTTATTTCTTTTTCCTTTTTATCTGTCTGTGCTTGGTAGATACCTTGCAGTATCCCTCTATGATGGTACAAGTAAATAAAGACAATACAAGCACAAAATAATCAGTCAACACCATTAATAGCTTTGAATAAGAATTCAAAACTAATTTTATGGAGCTTATTGATTAGAGCTATAAAGAGTATGGCAAGTCAGTTGCAAATACACGTATTACTGATCTTTTTCAGTGTTGCCCTGTTGCAATAAGTGATATGAAATGTCCTTCAGCTACAGAACACTTAAGTAATTACCTTGTGCTGTAAAATTAACCTGGCCACAGTGCCTTAAAGACCTCTAGATATCCTAACTCATTTTCCTGCAGTTGGTAGTGTCATCAGAGCCAACTCAGTTCTGCAGCTCCCCTCCAGGTGTGTTGCCTTAACTGTCTGCAGGAATTGGCTGCTGCTTCCCTGTGAGTGACACAATCACTCGTGTCTCCCAGCACCACCACGGAGCAGCCACTCTGCTCATGGCTGTGCCACAGCAACGGGCACTTTGCTGTCCCTGCAGCTGGCAGGTGACCTGAACAGGTTTCAGCATTCAGCCAGACTGTTACTGCAATACTTACTCTGAGCAACAGGAAACAAGTACCCATTTGGTATGGGTTAATATTAATACAGACACAAGTCTGATTGTGCTATGTGGGTGAATTAGTTTCCTTTGATAAGAATGCACAGTATGAGGAAATGCATATAACCATGGGAATTTGGTGTGTTTATTCCTTTTAGTTTTGTAGGGTATGCTCAAATATGTCTTCAGTCAGATTGCCATTTCATTGCAGCTTAGATGGCCAGATGCAGAAAAAAATGCACCAGTTTAATGCCTTTGAACATAACAGAAATTAATGTTTTATTTCGTACAGGTGCACTATCAACAATACAAATGTCTATATGGTTGGTACTTTTACTGCCTGACAGAGGTGTCTAGAAGGTTAACATTTCAAGCAAGCTCAACAGAACTTTGTTTAACTTGTCCTCTTCATTCACAAGTCTTTGCCTCAGCAGCAGTTCTGTGTCTCCCCCTAACCAGTTTGTCACCATTTACTATTAAGGACAGTAAACTTCAGTGTGTTGTAATCCAACATATAGTGCAGCACCTGTGCATTGATTTTTGGTGTAAGAGAATGAGTTTCCAATCTCTTTGTTAATGAGTTTCTATGTACTGAGTTTGTTCAGTGCAGAATGATGTGTTTATGACACAGCCACAGCCATTGGCTCAAATTCTTTCTTTTACTTTGCACAGTGGTAGGGATAAGGTACAGTTTTACTCATTTCAGTAAAGCTACCTGTGATTTAATAAGAGTAAGGAGAATTTGGCTCACTTTTTGTCCATCTTATCTGATTAGATCAGCAACAGATCCAGTTGTGTAGGGCACAATATAGCACTAGCCACAAAATCGACCATTGAAATAAGTTGAGTCCATTGTGTGCAGGGAGAAAATATGTATCTTTTTAAATAACTACCTGTCATCGTGAGAAATTATGTATTGTATTCTGCAGTGGTACTGGATCGTGGCAGCTGGAGATGGAAGAGACCTGTTGGACCATTTCATCTCGGCGTGGCCTGAGCTGGGGGACTGTCTACTGTTAATAGGTACCAGGTTTATCCCAGCACAGAGGAGATGTTGATGGTCATCCTCTGTCTCCTTTGGGGATTGCATCCCTTTTCGCTTACTGTCTGATGATGTGCTTTTAATAAGCTTTCCTTAAACTTTGCAGTAAGCCTTTTGGAGTTGTGACCAGCCAGTTCTCCACGAAAATTTTAATCCCCATATAAGGCACTTGGAGTATAAGCATATGTACAGTATAACCCAAATAGCGGGGGTGCGGGCTGGCCCCTGCATTGGCCGTGCCTGTCTCTGAGCCAGGCTCTCCCCTGGCCGGGGCTCCGGGCGGTGCCTCCCGGACCCGCAGGTTACGGGCTCCGCTCCCCGAGCCGGCTCCGGAGGAGGCCGGGCAGGTGAACAGCGCCTGGAGTTCAGAGACAGGTTAGAGCCGATGTCGGGCTTTCCCGCGGGGCTGGTGCCCGGCCCGGGGCTGCGGCAGGAGCCGGGCTCCCCCTCCCTCCTTCCCTCGGTGCCCCCGCGCCCGCAGGCACTCACCGGGCATGGGTGCGGTGCTCCGGTCGCGGCCCCGCTGCCATCCCCGCCGGGCCCGGGCGATGTGCGGCTGTCCCAGGGCCGGCAGCCCCTCCCCGGACCGCCCCCGCGGGGAGGCTGGAACGGGAGCTGAAACGGAGACACCTCTGGTCCCGGGCAGAAGAAAAGCAGGGATACCAGTTCGGGAAAGGTTCCGTGCTGTCCCAGCTCTCCGTGCCCGGCCAGCCCCGCAGCGCGGGAGGCGAGGGACGGACAGCACCGATCCTGGTGGGGAGGGAGGGCTGGAACCGGGCAGGGAAGTGGCCGCTGTGCTGCCTAAATCTTAATGTCAGCCCTAAAAAACGTACCTGTGCGGCCCTGGCTGTGCGAGAGAACTTCAAAAGCTACAATTCTGCTCAGAAAAAAGAGTTTGATATTAGTATCTTGATTCTGAATATTCGGGTGGGCAAGAAAGTAGTATTAACTTCTTTCACGCTTTTAACAAAATACATAAGCACAAAGGAACACAAGAAATCCCCTCAGACAATTGCAATTTCTATATTCTCTTCCTATTTGTATTTATAAATGTAATGATCTTTGATCGCTCATGTGTGTAATAAACACAACCAAACAGATCTTTACCAACAAAATTACTCATGCATGGTTCAGAAACAAACTATTCACTGTCACTGCTTCTTGTCTGCTAATGCTTATTTCACAGTATGACAAGAATCTGTACCTTAAATTTAATAACTGTTTGTATTACATATACTTGTTCTCCTCACAGCTGTTGCATACATTTGCATAGTTCTGTTTAATCTAAAAGCCAGAGAAATGCACAGGAATTAAACCAGCAGGGTTCTGGTGAAATATCTTCTGTGTATGTGGAATCTTAGAATACTTTTTATTGCGTTTAGAATGTCCTGTTATAGATGTAGTGTGGTAAGCTTTTTTTATTAATTTTTGAGTCTTCCAGAAGTAAGAAAGTATTTAGATAATTTTTACTCTAAGAAGAAAAAGCTTCATATATTTCGAGTTTACACTTGTAAGAAAGTTAACCATTAAATAAATATTGGATAGTCGTTGCTTTTACTATTCTTATTTCTACATTGAATTAGTATTAACACTGAAGTAGAGATTTATTGCTGAGCAGTTTTACTCTTGTCAGGATGATGTCTATAAGCAAGTCTGAGACAACCAAAAGTTGTGAGTTGTGTGGCAAGACAACAACTGTCTGCTTTCTGTTACAGTGTTCTCACTTGAGCTGCTTCTGTGGCCATGTGAGGAGTGATAAAGTTGCTTTAAACATCTGATTGCTTTACAGAACGCCACTGAAGGGTTAAAATGATCTGTGCCAGACGCACTGTCTCCCGTACCCGTTGTGGTGCTTGTGAGGAGGTGTGTGAAGCTGTAAGTCTGGGAAACAATAACCAATAACCACCTGCGGACTGAGCTCTTGTTTCAGTGAGATGGGACAGTGTCAGCTGTGAGGAGCAGATCTCACCCTCTCCAAGTCCCTGTGGAAGAAGTTAATGGCAAAGTTGTTAAGCAGGGAGCTTTAATTTTGATTCTCTGCTGCATCACAAAGTTCCTGTTCTCTAGTCTTTTTGTGCTGAGTTCTTGCACCAGTTGGAAATCAGAATAAATACAGGATGTGAAACAATTATACTCTCCTTTATCTCTGATTACTTGCCTCTTTCCTAGCCTAAATCTCTGGAACAGCTGAGAGCAAGCTTAGAGTTTAATATTTTGTGGACCTAGATATTGTACTATAAATATTCTAAGTTTCTGGTGTGTATTTCATAACACATACTTTTTTTCAGTCTGCATATCCAGGTCTTGCATCTTACAGTAAAACCTTGAGCTTTAAAAGACCACTTAAAAATTCCAAATACAAATACAAAATCATATTTTACTATACTTCAGAATAATCACTGGCAAGACATCCTAGTTTAGAATGCAGGGCAAGGGACGCTATATTCTCCCCACTTTTTAATGATTACTTTTTTTTTTTTTTTTAGTCTCAGCAACAAAAGTAAGGAGTCAGGCCCCAAATAGTAATACATATTTGTGAAGTATGTTTTTCTTCATGTTCTATTTTTTGTGTGTTTTTTTTTTCTTTAGTTCTGGTGGCACATTCCTGTCATATTTTTGAAAAAATACACTCTTATGAAGTTGCACAGCTCATCATCAGGGGAGATACCAAATACTGTAGTTTTTACTGTGTATGTCTGACAGCACTTTGCTCATAGATGATTTCCTTGCTAATTAGTTAGTCCTGTTTTGAATGCTGAAATGATGATACCATTTTTATGGTTGCTCAGGTGGAGACTTTCTTCTTGCTTTGGCAAAGCTGGAACTAATACTGAAAAGGCAACTGTGGTCACTGGAAGAGATGTGTAGAAAAGGTGAGCCTGAAAATCTTCTTTAATGTTGTTCTTAAACCTTCTGAAGAATAGAAAGACAAGTTGGAAATAGATTATGGTTTCTAAAGGAATTGATTTAAACAGTCAGAGCACTGAAACTAAAGAATATTCTGCCACAAAATAGTTTTCTAAGGAGTGTTAATTTAAAAACAGTGATGTTGCATTGCTCACGAGACACCTAAGTACCAAGTTTGCATCATTTATCATATGATATTCTTGTAATTCCCACTAGACTGGGTGAAATTCAACTTATTTATATTTAAAATTGGATATTTTTGAAAAAACTGAATTATTTGCTTAGCACCTTTTATACCATTCTGGTGACAATCAAGTTGACTGCATGAAATTACTTAAAGCTGTTTGTTAGAAAGATCCCGTGATAGAAGATAGAGAGGTATTTAAAGAAGATAAAGCTGTAGAATCACAAGCATCAGTAGATCCTTCTAATGGTAAGTAATTATAGCACAGTTTAGCTGACAGTTTTACTCTGAAGTCCAACCCCTACTGTAATTTTTATTAATAATCTTAAAGTTTCAACGGATAAAAGGATTTTTTAATTTTTCTTTTTTAAATCCCATTTTGCAGCCCTAGAATGATCTTTAAATCCAGCCATTTCAAGTGAAATGTGTTCAAGTTGTTCTGCCTTGCACCCACTTCCTTGTGTTTGTGAATCTTGACTTTCAAATCGGTGGTGCCTTCAGCTACAATGGCATCTAGAAAGAGGTAAACTTTTTTTTTCCATTTAAAATGTGAAACTGGTGAATCACTCAGGGACTTAATAGATTAGATCTACGGGGAGCATTGATGGGCACCCTGACTACAACAAACAGATTACATTGAGAAGTGTAATTTTAAATGGCAGAAATAATGAGTACTTAGAATTTCTATAGTGCCTTTCATTTCCAGCATCCTGATCTCTCCACCAGCATTAATTACTGGTAGTTAACCATCACAAAACCTTTTTGAAATAATAGTTATTGTTATCCTTATTTTATAGATTGTTTAATAACTGGAGCTCCTCCAGATCCACACTTGTGTAACTGAGATAAGAAGTTCTCCCACAGTCTACTGTTGGCCTTGGACTAACACCTAGTTCTTAGCTTTAGCAGGCTACGGATAATTGACTGTTTCAGAAAAGAATATGTGAAAAAAAGACTTACTCTGTCACAAAATACCCTTTGGATTCTTTCTGGGAGCCATTTGCTAGTGTCCTTTCTAAAGAAAAGATGACAGTGAGAGTGAGTGCATCCAGAAGGGAATGAATCTCCCAGAATTGTTTTCTCTGAGCTTTGCTGTTGATGGTAGTTGCCTTTAAGCAGGCTACAGTCCAGAACAGCTCTCCCAGTAAAATTACAGGTATGAAATGGGGATAAAGACAGGGCAACGTGGGCAACAGGAAAAAATCTTCAAATGCTGCCGTGTTTGGTGCTTCTAGAAGGGCCTGAGGAGAAAGGCAGCAAAAGAATAAAAGAGAGGAAAGAAAGCATTAACCCTGTTGAGGGGGTTTGATTCCTACTTTGATGTTTCATCTTATCCCAGTAAAACTCCAGACACTGCACCTAACCTTGACATTGTTCAGGGAGAGGGAGGCAGAATACTCTCTGGACCTGCAAAAACTTTCCACCTGGGTGTATTTATCCCATCAGTTTCCTCATGGCACAGAACTGGTCAACAGAGCCTTGGCCACATGAAAAATTGTTACAGCTGGCACAGAACGTGCTGTGCAATACAGGGGTTTTTCCCATGCTTTTGTATTCATCTTTTCCTCAGTATTTGAAACCCCTGACAGACATGAATACTTTAGGGCCTTACACAACTTTTCAGCCCTGTTATAATACACCTACTGCTATGAAAGCATATGTAGGTAAGGTCTGCATACCAGCACTTCTACAGGATTCATAATGCTTCTCTTTTTTTCTACCTTTTCCTTTTTCTTCTAGTAAGCTTTAACTGTTGGTGTTGCCTAGTAATAAAATTTTTGCAAGCTATAGCACCACCTCCTGTCCAAAGTTGGGCTTTGGTGTGAATGATAGAGCAAACCAGAAAGTTCCCTTAAGGGTGGCTTCTTAATGTATGAAACAAAATGGAGAAAATGTGAACTTTCATTCCTTTCAAATGACTTTTCCTTCCTGTGTTTTGCAGTAGGAATTTCAGAAATACCAAGTCTTCTTGGCTGCAGGGTTGTTTTTTTTTTGCTAATATAATTTGCATAAGAAAGTTAGCAGCTGTTGCTGTTTTAAGAAAAAAAAAAACAAACCAGTACAAAATGTTCCTTTTAAAATTTTTTTATTATTAAACTCCAAGTTCACAGATTATATGCACAGGTCCTGTAGAGACTTTTGCAGTGAAAACTACTTGTGAAGCTCTGGCTTGTGAGGGTTTAAAGCTTTTTGGGGGTAAGATCTGGCTTTTTGTTCTGGTTTTGTAGCCTTGGTAATAGTAATCTAAACTTTGTAACTCTGGCAAGGCCTTGCAAGATTACCTATGTACACATGAAAAACGAGCTATTCACACAGCTGTAGTGATGAACAGAAGATGTTGCTCTAAGGCAAGACTAGTTTTTATTTTAGGCAGTATTTCCTAAGTCTCACCCAGTCTGAGTGAGGGATAATGAATTTAAACTAGACATAATGTAAATAAGGTATGTACTCTAATACAAATGGGAAGGGATTGCTGAGC